ATTTTATAAAATATATTTAATATTAACCAAACCTGTTTTTACACATTAGCGTGCGTAATATTCCTTATCCAAAGTTTCTCCACCGTGTATGGTGTTCTCTTTATACACATATTGGCTTTGTTCATAGTCTACTTGCGAATAAACAAAGTATTAGATGTTGTGTACAACGAATAAACACTCCCAATTTATTGTCAGCTTCTGGAATAGTAACACCAGCTTCCTTCCTTCGCCGTTTTACCGTTATTTTTCTCTCTCTCTCTCTGTCTCCGAAAAATGAAAAGAAAAAAAAAGCTTCTATCGATCGATCGTAAGATTACTGCAGATGTGAATGGATGGTGGGGTAGTGAAGAGACAGTTAAACAAGGTTTTAGAAATTTAGTGTGTAAACGAAAGAAAGCAAGAAGGAAAACTCTCTGTGGAGGGTTTGATTGTTTTTTAGTGTAGAGGGGATCTTCCGTCGATGTCTCTGTCACTGTCTGTCTCTCGGTCTAGCTGTCTTGATTATTGTTTGTCTAGTCGTCTCTCAGCCAGCAGACTTTCTTTTTATTCGCCTGTTAGCCCTTTTGTTCCCGATTATGAGTTGTTTCACAAGTGTGTACGTGAGTGTGTGTTTGTATGTTTGTGTGTGTTTTTTGAGCATGTGCGTGTGTGCGTGTTTGTTTTGTGCATGTGCGTGTGTGTGTTTTTTTTATGAATGTGCGTGTGTGTGTGTGTGTGTGTTTGTGTGTGTGTGTGTGTATGTATGTGTGTGTGTGTGTGTGTGTTTCTTTGTGTGTGTATGTGTGGGTGTATGTGTGTGTGTGTTTGTGCATGTACGTGTGTGTGTTTGTGGGTGTGTGTGTTTCTTTGTGTGTGTATGTGTGTGTATATGTGTGTGGGTGTGTGTGTTTCTTTGTGTGTGTATGGGTGTGAGTGCGCGCGCGTTTCTTCTTCCGTCTCTGCACATAAAACTCAAATCTTGTCACTGCTGCTCAGCTACTTCTCTATCAATATCTCCCTATCCGAGCTCAGTGGGTGGTTGGCGGGTGCTCTAGTGTGATTTGCTTCTTCTTTCATATAATATCAAACGTCTATCGTCTTTATCTCCCTTCCTTCTTTTTCGTGTTCGTTACTCTCTTGTAACACCTCTAATCTTCAGCACTTATAATATGACCTTATTATGTTGCAAGTGCCGTAAAACACTTACTAAAACTAAACTATCCGAGCTCAAAATATTTATCTGAGGTCTAACCCATGGTTTGACTTCGCTCTCACCGAATCAACCAAGCGAGATTTTCTGGAGTTGTGCTGCGACCGGGGCCCGGGCTATCTCCTTGATATAAGCCACGGAGACTTTGGAAGGAAACCGCCCCCGACCCTTTTCATGCTTTATCCCCTTCCGACCTCGTGACACCCCCCCCTCCCTCCCCCCAACCTATTTTTCCCTGGACGATTCCTGTCAAAGAGTTTAGTTCATGCTCTGTTTGCACACAAAAGTAGCTCGACCACTATGCAGACTTTTGTTAGAAATAAGTATTGACGTAACCCTAGGGTTTTTTCTGACCCTATAATGAAGATCAAGGAGTGGCCGGCAGTAGGAATTTTTCCATAGGCCTTGACTCTTGCCGGTGGTTCCAGATCGCTTTGTTTGAACACAGGCACACTGCAAAAGTAATATAATAGTAATAGCAGTGCATGTGGTCTCGCCTTTCTCCTCCCCCTCTCCTTTCCTCCCTCTCTCTCTCTCTCTCTTCATATAT